GCCACCTAAGAGCCACTCAAGGTAAACAATGCCGTGCTGGAGCCAGCACCCCTCCTGCACTCCAACCCCTTGCCCTGAGCCCCCTCCTGCACCCCACACCCCAACCCCTTGCCCTGAGCACCTTAACACCACACCCCCTCCCACACCCCAACCCCCTGCCCCAGCCCTACATTTATGGCCCTGCATGCAATTTCTTCACCCAGATGTGGCCCTCGGGCCAAAAAGTTCACCCACACCTGCTGTAGTATCTAAGCACCTTCTGCATGAAATCATCAGCAACAGCCAAGTCCCTAGTGGACTTCATGGAATCTATGGCGATTCTCCCTTTTCAGGGTAAAATACTCCTTAGAGTAGGGCATACGTTTTTGATTAATAAAATATCGAATTTTTAAAATTAGTATTTTCTTTTTAAATCAGTTTTAACAATTCTCCTTCAGTCCAGCAAGGTCCTAGGCAGCATTACCCTTCTGCCCCGCTTCTCTCACTCTTACTTGCGGCTCCTTCGTAGATTTTCGGGTTGGTGCCTTTCCTTAAGAACTCCACTGCGATACGGCCAAATTCACCAACAACTGAAACGAAAGGAGAGAAACGCTCTGCGGACCTGCCTGGTGACTCCTGCGCTGGGGGGAACTCTCTCGGGCAGTTACAGGTTTTGCAGTGCCAGGGGGCACATTTCACACCTCGGCCAGGTCTCCCTCATTAACAGAGCTGACCCGTGGCCCCCGCAGAAGGCCTTGGGCTCTTAGGGGCCCCCTCAACCCCAGCGGGCTCCGGAGACGGGGGTGACTGTCAGGCGCTTTGGGAGCAGGGCCCTGTTTCAGTTTCTCCGGGCAAAAGATCCCACTTCGCCGCCCCGGGGGGCCCCAGCAGGAGGGCCGCGCTCGTGCTGGGGGATTGCGGGGAGAGAGCTGGAGCCTGTGGGGCCGAAGGAGCCCGCCCAGGGCGGAGGAAGGGTGCGGGGCAGCCCGGGAAGCGGGGGCGGGCGAGCCGGACCTGCGCTGTCCACCTGGGTCAGGAAGCCCAGGTGCTCCTTGTGCTCTTCCGACAGCACCAGCAGCATCTTCCCGGGGGCCGCTCGCCTGCTCCGCTCCTAGGCCGGGCGCCTCCCCGCCGACAGCTGAGCCGCTTCCTGTCAGGGTGGCTGCGCCAGCGCGCTCCGGCCGGTGAGCGCAGCCCGGCACACGGGTTCCGGGGCCCCAGGGGCAGGCAGAAGGCCGGGCGCGGGCGGGGGGGGCGAGGCCCGTCCGGCGGCTCCTCTGCACGGAACGGGGTCTGGGCCTGCCGGAGGCGGTTCACCTCCCCCCGCCCTCTGCTGCGGCCTGGCCCCTTCGCCGCAGGCGGGAAGGGTCCCACGGTCGCGGCCGGCGTCCCGCCCAGGAGCCCTAAGGGTCCCCAGAGCGCGTTAGGACGCGACGCGCGGTGTCGGCGCCACAGGCCCAGCTAAGAGCCGCATCCAGATTTCAAACCCCGCAACGGCAGGAGGGTCTCCTCGCCCGAGGGTGGGTCAGATTTATCGCTGCATTCGGCCCACCTAGAGCGTGGATTAACATCTCGGCAGTACTTTAGGGAAACTCTTTCAGTGCTGCTACTGTTTTATAAGTTCGTTAGTTCACACAGTCAGGGTTTGATCCCGCATAGCGTGAGGTTAATCGAGTCCACACAGTGCTTTTTAGACGTGCAAAGCGCTGTACAAGCCCTCACTAGTGAAGAGCTAAACAATTAGTTTCAAACATTGTTAATAATTGGGGGCGGGGGGATGTAGCTGTGTTTCACCTCTAGCTTTCAATTTACTGTAAATTACTCAAAAGGGAAAGGAGAGAATAAAGCAGCTAATACTTATTTGTGGGTGCCCTGTGTACCTCCTCTTCTGCATGTGGCGCACACTAAAATTCCCACAACTGGCAGATTTGATTTGGGAAGAAGTTCATTTAGAAATGGAAAAGGCCTGTGGATACCGAGTAAAATATTTACAAATTTAGTTTAAAAGTCACCCATTCATAGATATCCATTTCCCCCCCCACCCCCGAGTTTTTGACAAATTTGGTGAAGGCATAGGGTTTGCTTATCCCTAAATCCACTGTCCCCTCCAAAAAGGGCAGGAGGAAAACAATCAAGTGTTTATCTGCCTGTTCCTTTTGTCTAATTTTAAACTATTGGAAATATTAATAAACAAAATATTCCAAATGAAAATATTTCCAACTGGTCTGAGAGACTGCCTGGGATGAGTAGGAGAGGTGTTTGTTTTTGTTTAAACAGTACCAGTCATCTAACACAGGGGTAGGAACTGTAAAAAATCCTATAATAGTTTCATCGTGGATATCTGAAAACAATTATGTAAGCAAAATAGATCAGATGTTGATTTTATCAATGCGCTATAATGATACTATGCAATTTTGTGGCTTTTTGTTTATTGATGACGTAATTCCTATAAAGTGAAGTCTAGTGTAATACAACCACAATGGGACCAATTCTTTCATGCCACATAAACAACGAGGAGTCTGGTGGCACCTTAAAGACAAACATTTATTTGGGCATAAGCTTTCATGAGTAAAAAATCCACTTCTTCAGATGCATGGAAGAAGTGGGTTTTTTACCCACGAAAGCTTATGCCCAAATAAACGGACTCCTCGTTGTTTTTGTGGATACAGACTAACACCCCCTGATACTTGGTTTCATGCCACAGTGGACAGACTGCCAGAGATTTAAATGGGAGGAGGAGCAGATCCTAGATTCGTAGTTAAAAGGTTTTAAGTAAAAGTATGGTATAAATGCAGCCTTGAATATAAAGATATTATATGCTAATACCTGTCAAAAGAAGAATATAAAAAAATGGAAATACAAACAACAATCTTTTGTGTGTGTGTGTGTGATTCATGTTGACATTGGTTGAGAAGAATACTGAGAAGTCAAAATCACAGGCAATATACAGTGCAATCAGTTGCTAGACCAACAAATGTATTCCAGTAGTTAATGTAATAGCTCACCTGCCCAACTTTTCTCTCATAGGGGTGAGAGGGGCAGAGGAGAAACACACAGGAAGACACATACTCATTGTTACTCTTGCTTCCCACAGAACCACTGAAGGTACAATCTCAGGGCATATCTACACTGCCCTGCAGTTCGCACTACGAGGCTGTGAACAGCAGTGCGCACCAAAGTCCTGTGCTGTAACTCTCCTGTGTGGATGCTGTGGGAACAAGTTTCAGGGTAGCAGCCGTGTTAGTCTTCACAAAGAGAAAAGGAGTACTTGTGGCACCTCAGAGACTAACCAATTTATTTGAGCTTAGGCTTTTGTGAGCTACAGCTCACTTCATTCCCAGTTCTCATTACCATAGTTCTGTTTGAAGAGGACTACGTTAATGTAAATGAGAAACCTTTTCACTTGTGCCTGCAGCATCCACATGAGGGAGCTATAGCACAGCACTTTGGTGTGAACTGCTCTTTACACCCCCTTAGTCTGAGGCAGGCAAGGCAATGTAGGCATGCCCTCAGACATGATTTTATCATTTTATATTTCAGGAAAGAATTTCAATCTGAAAGTGCTACCTGTATATTGGGGACATTTTGAGAGATGGAAATGATTTATTAGGCGATCTTGTCCAGATGCCTGCCAATGCAGGAGATTTCATTTTATGAAATGGCAGGATTTTAAATGTGTGACCCCTTTTTCTTTGTGTATTTTACAGTACTTCTAATTCAGTTCATGAGACAGAATATGTAACAGAATATTTCACACTAACTGTGGTCCTTGTTCTCCTATTTAAGTCAATGGTGAAACTATGATTTCTGTGGAAGTCAGGCTCTACACCAAAATGCTTTGCAGAGACAAGTAATACAGTCTCAGTTACAGCCTGATCATGTTAACTCTCTCTAAGTCTTATTCATTGTAACATTAGCTGATCAAGTCAGTGGATAATCACCCAGTCCTGTGACAAGGGTGTTAACTTTTTTTAACCCTTTCCCATACCAAATGACTGGGCTGAGACAATAAAGGCCAGTCCCTTAGGCCAGGTCTACACTCAAAATTTAAATCAATCCACCTAAATCAGGAGAATGAAAAATCCACGCTCCTGAGTGAAGTAGTTAAACTGACCTAACCCCCGCTGTAGATAGCACTGGATTGATGGAAGAATTCTTCTGGTGACCTAGCTATTGGCTCTTGGGGAGGTGGATTAACTATGCCAAGGAGAGAATCTTTCATATCACTGGTTTCAGAGTAGCAGCCGTGTTAGTCTGTATTCGCAAAAAGAAAAGGAGGACTTGTGGCACCTTAGAGACTAACCAATTTATCTGAACATAAGCTTTCGTGAGCTACATCGGTGCATCCAATGAAGTGAGCTGTAGCTCACGAAAGCTTATGCTCAAATAAATTGGTTAGTCTCTAAGGTGCCACAAGTCCTCCTTTTCTTTCTTCATATCACTGTAATTAATTTCAACACTGAAGCGCTGCAGCTGTGCTGCTTAGCATTTCAAATGTAGAGAAGCCCTTGCAGATGCTCCTGTTCCTCACACGTTGGGTTCAATGGGACTGCACAAGTAAGGATTACTCACACAAATAAGGTTTGGGAGAACGAGGACCCTAAATAATAAATCTCTCAATGGAAGAGAGAAAGAAAGTATGCAAGAGAGAAATTTATGCAAGATAGATTTGCAGATGAGACTTAAAAAGGGACAAGAGAGTCAATGAGGTAGAGAGACACAGAGCAGTCTGTTCCGGAAAGCAGGAGCTGCAGAAAAGGTTTTAATGAAAGTCATTTTGAAACTGTTTTAGAGACAGGAGGTCTTTAAACTTGGAGGGAGTGCTGGAGGATGAAGTCTGCTAGCATGACTAGAGGTTCAGTGGGAGATTCTCACAGGCTCTGCTTGGCACACTAAAGCTTAGTCCTAGGTGATCTAATTTTTCTCTCACAGTGGTGCTATTCAATGCTGAAAATCTTTGGTTCACACTAATCTAATGAGTTGTTCTTTTTCCCTTACACATTACATTCAGTTTTTCAGAATTATTTTTGTCACATGATTTAATCTTTATTCTCTTTAGAGGTACAGAGATTAAATATCTGTTACAGACAAAGCCCAGAGCATCCACTAATGATTTATACATTATCTTCATGTAATGTATTATTAATATACCTTCATTAACCATATCCGTTTACTGTGTCGGTGGAAAAAATTGAATTTAGGATGCATGTTGAATAGGACATCATTGATATTGTTAGAGCATTCAAACATAGGTTCTCTTCCCAAACTACAGGTTCCTGGAAACATTCAATATGAAATCAGGCCTTTATCAGTATACAGGTTTGCAGACACTCTTCTTAGCTAGAGTTCTTGCAATTCCCAGTTGTTGAAGCCATGGTTTCTCTTTAAATGCACTGCAAGACAAATGACAGGACAAATTAACTGTTTCCATATATATCTATATAGATAGATAGATAGATATCCTGCACTTTTTGCACAGGCAAAACTTCCATTAACTTGACTGTGTATTTTGCCCAAGTAAGCAATGCAACATCAAGTTCATAATATACAATTCTTCTCACTGATGGCCTATCAGTCTGACTATGCACAATTAGTTGTCTAATTTATGTGTTTCAGAGTAGCAGCCGTGTTAGTCTGTATCCGCAAAAAGAAAAGGAGTACTTGTAGCACCTTAGAGACTAACAAATTTATTTGAGCATAAGCTTTTGTGAGCTACAGCTCACCTCATCGGATGCATGCAGTGGAAAATACAGTAGGGAGATTTAATATACACAGAGAACATGAAACAATGTGTGTTACCATACACACTGTAACGAGAGTGATCAGGTAAGGTAAGCTATTACCTGCGGTGGGGAGGGGAAAAAAACCTTTTGTAGTGATAATCAAGGTGGGCCATTTCCAGCAGTTGACAAGAACCTGTGAGGAACAGTAAGGGGTGGGGGCAATAAACATAGGGAAATAGTTTTACTTTGTGTAATGACACATCCACTCCCAGTCTTTATTTAAGCCTAATGTAATGGTGTCGAGTTTGCAAATTAATTCCAATTCAGCAGTCTCTTGTTGGAGTCTGTTTTTGAAGTTTTTTTGTTGAAGAATTGCAACTTTTAGGTCTGTAATCGAGTGACCAGAGAGATTGAAGTGTTCTCCAACTGGTTTTTGAATGTTATAATTCCTGACATCTGATTTGTGTCCATTTATTCTTTTACATAGAGACTGTCCGGTTTGGCCAATGTACATGGCAGAGGGGCATTGCTGAATAGATATGTGAACAGAGTTGGCAACGCGCTTTGTTGAAAGGGTAGGTTCCTGGGTTAGTGTTTTTGTTGTGTGGTTGCTGGTGAGTATTTGCTTCAGGTTGGGGGGCTGTCTGTAAGCAAGGACTGGCCTGTCTCCCAAGATTTGTGAGAGTGATGGGTTGTCTTTCAGGATAGGTTGTAGATCCTTGATGATGTGCTGGAGAGGTTTTAGTTGGGGGCTGAAGGTGACGGCTAGTGGAGTTCTGTCATTTTCTCTGTTGGGCCTGTCCTGTAGTAGGTAACGTCTGCGTACTCTTCTGGCTCTGTCAATCTGTTTCTTCACTTCCGCAGGTGGGTATTGTAGTTGTAAGAACGCTTGATAGAGACTTGTAGGTGTTTGTCTCTGTCTGAGGGGTTGTATCGTAGAGCTTGGCTGTAGACAATGGATCGTGTGGTGTGGTCTGGATGAAAGCTGGAGGCATGTAGGTAAGTAATAGCAATTAGTAGGTTTCTGGTATATGGTGGTGTTTATGTGACCATCGCTTATTAGCACTGTAGTGTCCAGGAAGTGGATCTCTTGTGTGGCTGGTCCAGGCTTAGGTTGATGGTGCGATGGAAATTGTTGAAATCATGGTGGAATTCCTCAAGGGCTTCTTTTCCATGGGTCCAGATGATGAAGAGGTCATCAGTGTAGCACAAGTAGAGTAGGGGCATTAGGGGACAAGAGCTGAGGAAGCGTTGTTCTAAGTCAGCCATAAAAATGTTGGCATACTGTGGGGCCATGCGAGTATCCATAGCAGTGCCGCTGATTTGAAGGTATACATTGTCCCCAAATGTGAAATAGTTATGGGTGAGGACAAAGTCCAGCCACCAGGTTTGCCGTGACATTATTGGGGATACTGTTCCTGACAGCTTATAGTCCATCTTTGTGTGGAATGTTGGTGTAGAGGGCTTCTACATCCATGGTGGTAGGATGGTGTTTTCAGGAAGATCACCAACGGATTGTAGTTTCCTCAAGAAGTCAGTGGTGTCTTGAAGATAGCTAGGAATGCTGGTAGCGTAGGGCCTGAGGAGGGAGTCTATATAGCCAGACAATCCTGCTGTCAGGGTGCCAATGCCTGAGATGATGGGGCATCCAAGATTTCCAGGTTTATGGATCTTGGGTAGCAGATAGAAGTATCCCGACCAGGGGTATAGGGGCGTGTCTGTGCGGATTTGTTCTTGTGCTTTTTCAGGGAGTTTCTTGAGCAGATGGTGTAGTTTCTTTTGGTAACCCTCAGAGGGTAATGGCTTGTAGAATGTGGTGTTGTAGAGCTGCCTAGTAGCCTCTTGTTCATATTCCGACCTATTCATGATGACGACAGCACCTCCTTTGTCAGCCTTTTTGATTAGGATGTCAGAGTTGTTTCTGAGGCTGTGGATGGCATTGTTTTCTGCACGGCTGAGGTTATGGGGCAAGTGATGCTGCTTTTCCACAATTTCAGCCCATGCACACTGGCGGAAGCACTCTGTGTAGAAGTCCAGTCTGTTGTTTCGACCTTCAGGAGGAGTCCACACAGAATCCTTCTTTTTGTAGTGTTGGTAGGAAGGTCTCTGTGCGTTAGTATGCTGTTCAGAGGTGTGTTGGAAATATTCCTTGAGTTGGAGACGTCGAAAAATAGGATTTTAGGTCACCACAGACCTGTATCATGTTCGTGGGGGTGGAAGGGCAGAAGGAGAGGCCCCGAGATAGGATAGATTCTTCTGCTGGGCTAAGAATATAGCTGGATAGATTAAGGGAACCACTGTGGTGGCCCCTTGTGGCATGTAGTAGTTTAGATAGTTTAGTGTCCTTTTTCTTTTGTAGAGAAGCAAAGTGTGTGGTGTAAATGGCTTGTTTAGTTTTTGTAAAGTCCAGCCACTAGGAAGTTTGTGTGGAGGGCTGGTTTTTTATGAGAGTATCCAGTTTTAAGAGCTCATTCTTAATCTTTTCCTGTTTGCTGTATAGGATGTTGATCAGGTGATTGCGCAGTTTCTTTGAGAGTGTGTGGCACAATCTGTCAGCATAGTCTGTGTGGTATGTAGATTGTAATGGATTTTTTATCTTCAGTCCTTGTGGTATGATGTCCATCCATTTGCATTTGGAAAGGAAGATGATGTCTGTCTGTATCTGTACGAGTTTGATGGATTTCCACTCCATACAGCTAAATTCAGTGCCTTGCATTATGACAGGTTTCAGAGTAGCAGCCGTGTTAGTCTGTATCCGCAAAAAGAAAAGGAGTACTTGTGGCACCTTAGAGACTAACCAATTTATTTGAGCATAAGCTTTTGTGAGCTACAGCTTACTTCATCAGATGCATGCAGTGGAAAATACAGTGGGGAGATTTTGTATACATAGAGAACATGAAACAATGGGCGTTACCATACACACTGTAACGAGAGTGATCAAGTAAGGTGAGCTATTACTAGCAGGAGAGAAAAAATATAATTCCATGATTGAAAGTCATTGAATGTGCATATGATATGGTTAGATACAAACAGGCCAGGAGCAGCAACCTGATATGAGTGCACACTGGAACTGCTGTCGTCGTGTGCACAAATTAGACACTCAGTTGCTCACAGGAAATTCAGAAAATCAGGTAAATGTATGGGAAATAACAGTAAAGATCAAATATCATAGATTTTATCTAGTGATAAATTAAAACCATTTTTCACGCATTTTTTATCTACAGTGTCCATCCATCCAGTATTATTTTGATAACCCCAAAAACCCCATTCACAAAGTATATTTTGAAGCATTTTTATCATATTACCACATCATTCTGTTAAGCTAGATACATATATTGCCAGTACTACTGTTAATATATTTTATACTGAAATCCTCAAGGATTGTTTAAAATTATTGCCAAAAAGAAGCAGTTTTGATAGCGCATAAGCCCAAAGTCTGAATGAGCAGATTCATTTACACAATGCGTACACTACTGTTGTAGTAATAGAACGTGTCTGTCTGTGGCCCTGATCATGTCCTTCAGATTCAAGCATCTGTCTCCCCTGCTAGAGCAGGGATCCGTGGCACCTACAGCTATATGCCTGTTATGCACGGTGTGTACTGCTGGGAGCAGTGAGGGAGAACAGCATTGGCCATTCCACTGCCCATTCAGGTTTGGTCATAACAGCAGAGTGGGGAGTGCTACTGGGATTAAACTGAGTGAGTGGTGGTGTGATCAGGTGCGTGGGCATTGCAGCACTATTGAAGTTTAACCTCGTGTCATGACGGAAGAGACACGGTGTCAAACCTGAGTGGCACTGTGACTCCCCTGCACCAGGTTGCATTGTCATTTATCCCCCTCCCTGTCATGACAGAGAGCTGGTGGTAGGGCCAAACCTGAGTGGGCAATGGGGTGGCCAGTTCTGCTCCTCTTCTCTGCTGCTGTGGGACTGCCTCCTGCACAAGAGCTCCTGGGGAACTGTCTGGCCTCGCCCCGCTTCAGCACTCTGTGTCCCAACTCAGAGTTGGGGACTTACATTGCACCTGGGCAGGCCAGGCTGGAAGGCAGTGGTGCAGTGTGGTGCTAGGGACAGCAGCTGCAGCAGGGATGGCTCTGCAGCAGTGGTGGGCAACCTGCGGCCTGCAGGCCGCATGCAGCCCATCAGGGTAATCTGATTGTGGGCAGTGAGACATTTTGCTGACATTGACCATCCGCAGGCACAGCCCCCCAAGCTCCCAAGTGGCCACAGTTCGCTATCCCCAGCCAATGTGTGTGTGTCGGGGGGGATCCTTGGGGGCAACCTGGGCCAGGAAAAGTCTTGTTTGTGCATCTCCACTGAAGCGATGGGGAGGTGCAGGCCTACTGTGCAGGGATATGGAGGTAGAGCAGCCAGTCATTCCAAAGACAAGGCAACCTACCCTCCCTCTTCCAACAATTAATAGAGAACTCTGAAGAACTCCATGTGGAGTGTTCCTCCTCCAATACCCATACCATTGGTTGTACCACATAAGAACAGCCATACTGGGTCAGACCAATGGTCCATCTAGCCCAGTATCCTGTCTTCTGACAGTGGCTAGTGTCAGATGCTTCGGAGGGAGTGAACAGAACAGGGCAATTTACTGAGTTCCAGTCCCAGGTTCTAGTAGTCAGAAGTTTAGGGACACCAGAACATGGGAAAGGAGGTTGATC